ATGAGCATCAGGAAATTTTTTTGAAAACAAGAAAAATTGAGAAATTCTGGAAAATTCCTTTAGGTGCGACGCATCTAAATCTCAATTTAAGATTGTCAACAAATCACACGAAAGCGAATCAATCTACGAAAAATCTTTCGTCATCCACCTACTTGCATCGCTCTTCACCTTTTTGCTGGAAATCTTCAAAATCTTCATCAATCGTCCTTCTATTTAATAAATGTGCGCCCATCTGACAACAGCAAAGCAAAAAATTTCCTGCATCTAAGATAGAGTCGCTCCCCTCGGAAAGTTCTGAGGCATTTTGCAAAGTTCAGAAATCCAGAAAACTCCATTGACTTCAGGAATGTCCAAAGACCATCAGACATGTTCAAAGAACTTCACGAAGATTTAGAGACCTTCAGGGAAGCTATGTGAAGTTTACGGCAGCTCCAAGAACTTCAGGAATATTAATCGCCTAATCGAGCAATTTCAAGAAAACCTTCTACCAGAAATTTTCAGAAGACAATGAATTGCTGAATTTCGGGCCTATCATACATGCAACCCTACTTTCTTGAAGTTCAAAAACATTGTTTTACTCGAATGATGTAATCTTGGCAGGGAGAAGCATATAGCACACACGGAATTTATTTTATAGGTTGTTGATCTTGTGATGAAAAGTTGTGCTATTGAAATCAAATTAAAATAGGCGTAGCAGAGGGGATCCCCTACAAGAAATCGGGCCTCGGAAAAAAAATTTCCCTTATACAGCGTTTTTTTAACAGAGTAGGGGGACTCCTGAGGAAAGTCCTCAAATACGCTGGCTTAGTTTAGATAGTAGTAATTTTTGTCGAGGGTTTCGGTAGTGTCAATAGCGGGTTATCGATGACCGCAGATGATGGGTCATTCGATTGGGCGTTATACCGTAGAGACTTCTTAGATTGCTGAACACTGGGCAATCCACCAATATGTGTTCCACTGTCACGGTAAGGTTGCAAGTGTCGCAAGTTTTCCGAAAATTGGCGGAGCAGCTCATGTTATGATGACCTGGTCTTGTCGACTTCTGGTATCCTGCCATTTAGAGGTCCCCCCTTTCACCTTCCGAATAACAGGTTGCCACACTCAAGGTTCCAGGCGTCTCGGATTATGAGCCCGACCCAGCGCTTAACGTCGGGACAAGGGACCTCTTTACTGAAGAGTCGACCGGTAACGACCAGATGATCAGCTTCACAATTACCTCTAATGTTACAGTTACCCGGTAGCCAAAGGAAAACTGTACTCGATGGTGATTGTTCTTGGATCCTCTGGATCCATGGATACCTCGGGAACTGGGATTCTAGGGCCGAAAGGGTACTGGCAGAATCTCATAAGATGCAGATGGGTTTGTTGACGCTCATAGTAGCAGCGTGGAGACTGGCCGCACTTTCCGGAGCATTGGTTAGGGGGCCGGAAAAATTGCTCTCGGTAGTGTCAGCGACTATTTCTCTAGCTTTAGAGACGTCCGTGTATCGGTGGTGGTGGTCCCTAGAATTTCGGCGACGTAAGCACGCATCTCCGGGGCAGGGTTATTTGAAAATCTTAAATCTGACAAATTTAAGTGAAATTTCATCAAATGGAACACAGCCTAATCTGTCTACTTGTATGTTGATGCAGGATTACTTGAAAATCTTCTTTGATTTTTATCGATCTACTCAGCATGCGCGCATGTCACGATAGTCAAACAAAATCTTCCCTGCATTTGAGATAGAATCACTCCCTCGGATGTTTCCGCAACGTCGACAATCGAACAAATTGGCGTTACATTTAGCAGAGGCAAGTACATGTCGAGAAAATCGTTCACATTCAGTTTCAGGTTGTTTCCTAAAGCAAGAGAACGTGGAAAGATCTACCTGATCTTGCCTTGAGCCGTCATCGGCCGACCAACTGACGACTTCTAGCGAGTCGTACGAGATTCAAAACCGTCAAATCGTCACTCATACGAGCTCGCAGCTTCTGCCTTCTGCTTCCACACTGCAATCTTTTTCTCCACTGTGCCTGAACTTCGATGCCTTTTCGTTACCTTCGTAAGATGAAATGAATCTCTCCAGCGCCGGTTGAGGATGGCGTATCCCGAGTTCTCGGAAAATGCAGAGCATCCTCCTCTCAAGGTCTTTTAGATCAGTTCTACTTCACTTCACTGCTTTTATAATGAAAGACAACTAAGGAATGGCAAACGCGTTTACAATCCCGCGTTTAGGGAAGACTTCACAACACGGTTGACTCAATTCAAAAACTTATATAGCAGCTCCGTTTTCATGAGCCGGAGAAACCCCTTCGTAGACTTCGTGGCCATTTTTCGCAATGAAACATCCACTATGCATCTGAACTCAGCGGCACCCAGTGTCATACCAATGTCACCGTTTACTCTCCCTATCTTTTTGATTACTACGCCTGGGTTTTCCGGACTGTCGGACTACATCGTGTTCCTTACCTTGAAGTCATGACCAGTGCCTGTGGAGTGTCCTACTGGGTGGATTCAGTAAAAGACAGCACCAGAGTGGCTTGGAATATTGCCCTCAGAGAGCTGTCTTCAGCGTAACATGGTTTTTCCAAGGATGATCTCAACTTGCCTTCCAGTGCTAGTGAGCTCCCAGGCTGTCAAGCTCTGTAATTTGCCTTATGGTCGCTACCCGACCTGAACGCGATTAGCCTACCAATCAAGGCTAGTTCAGACATGGTGGCTCTTACCGTTTTGTAATTTGTTGGGACACTGCTTGTCCTCTTGACGTAACACGGTAAACCAAACTCCTGGCAATCGCAGCAGTTTCTCAGTATATTATGAAGTGCGCTTGATGCCGAATGAAACAGAATACACAATAGGGGTGATTGAATGCATCCGTTAATATAAGAGAATACTTTTTCATCGGTACTCTGGGTCTGTGTCGCGGAACTGTGCTGCTACTTCATCCATGTGGTAAACTAAATCGCGTAGTAGCTGCTGATCAGGGTGAGGTTCTTTTGGCAAATTAGTGTACTGTATTAGAGCTTTCATTGGTGCAGAAAAAACACGTCCCTCCTCCACGACACATCGCTTGCTCTAATGATCCTCTTTGGTAGGTCTTTCTGCACCTCCTGCCGGAACTCGTAAATTTCTGCGAGGGAGAGCATACTTTTGCGAACAATTTGTAGATCAATTTTAATCGTCTCACTCTTAAAAGCACATTCTACTTCTGGCAGAAAAATCGAGTTCCGCTGCATTCCATTGTGCTTATTCGCAATGTTTTTATCCAGCGCGAGATACCTCTGTTGGAAACGAGATGGGTCCACTTCCAATTTGGGACTAAATATTATTTTGTCAACAACCGCCAAAAGCTAAAAAGAACCGTGATTCACTTTTAAAAAATTATCGTCATTCAGATTTATTTCCACTGCAATTTCGGTAAGTTCAACACAGGTTCCACCACCCTACACATTGATTTCCAGTACAATCATAACGACGGTCGCCAATGGGTGGCGAGAATGATATAGCACACGAAGGTGAAATTATACATAGATAGCGCTAACTAATGTGCTACACTTAGCACTGCCATGGGAAAATAACCAAGTGCAAAATAAAAAAAAACTGGAGAACCAGTTCCGTCGATATAATCTTTGTGTTGCGACATCGTCTGCGGCAACGAAACGCACTCGGCATGCTCGCTCGTATTATTTTACAATTTAATGACTCACAAACTGGCACGCAGCCATCTGTTTTCACTCGATTCGACCACCTTTTTTTTTTATTCAACCTCAAATTTTCCACCTTCGCCATAGCTTCCTCCCAAAAATATACGCACGCGATTCTGATAATTAGCACCTCGCAAATAACGCAACCGCGTGACCAAACTCCCCTATGTTCGACGATTGAATGTAAGCAGGTAGAAATACGATGTTCGGTAGTGCGATGTGATACGCGATGGGCCAGCAACAAATATAGCAGCGCACTTCACGTTCAATCACATTACACGTGTGTTATGCAATCGTACCAGAACATCCAACACGCCTTTGGTGTTTCGATATCGACCACGTTCCTATCCACGCTCCGGTGTAGCTACTTACTCAGTAACGATCACGAATATCATTTGATTTATTCGTACTTCACGTGTTCCTCTCTACATTTGCAAAACAAGCCGTGAACCTGGAAAAACTACATTCCCGTCCTGAACGTTGTTTGACCTACTTTTCGACCCACACGGAACTGTCGGTGCCGTCTCGTTGGCTCAATGTGTCACACTATAACTAATGCAAATGCAACTTGCTGCAGTTGTTCTGCCCGACCAAAGCGAGATGATAGCTTGATAGCTATTATTTCGATTTCTTCCAACATGAGTAGTGTGCGTGACTCGCTCCTCTATCAACATCGATATCACCATCATTAACTATATTCTATGCTGCCACTGCTACTGGTTTTGTTATTGTTCCTGGCTCGAATCCAGCCACCCTGCCACCCAGCCACCCACCGCGCTCCAATCGATTGCTGTTTTTAGCCGCCCATGTCCAATAACAGGGCAAGGGGAACGAAACATGCACGCGAACGTTTTGACTAATGTCAAGGTCACAAATGCCGTCCAAACTTGCGATGCACGCCGGAACAAAACAATAGCAGAATGACACCATTGCCATCAAAACAGCATGGCTAAATCGCTCCCTTGTTTTTATTTACATTAGTCCCATCATGACGACGCAAAGAGTACACCCCTCGGCACTCATTGCGATTTTTATTCATTCTTTCGACCTTTTGTTTCCATAATGCTCGTCGCCCCTCCCCCCTTGTGCCCTCTCTGGAGATCTATGCTTCTTCTATGCTCTTCTGACGGCGAAAGAGTGCGATTGATGATGGCCGACCGACGGCTACTTAGGACCCGTTTTGCACTGGTTTATGTTTTCTGATTTTGAACCACCGTAGCGACAGCAATCGAACAAATTTACATTCGCACTCATCCTCAACACACTTTGACGCAGTTTCAACAACTAATTAGATCGAAAAATGGAGAAAAACTTACCGAAATTGCACAAAATTCGCAGAACTGAAACTGAAAACTTGTCACCAGCTGAAGAAAAACTTTCGATTTGATTTTCCCATTCATTCGTTCATTCATTGACATTTTGCTATCCGTCACGAATTTTGCATAGAATAGGGATGCTCAAGTAGTACTGGCATAGGTGCATAGGTGCGCGTAACGCATGTCATGCCTCGTTGAAATTTGTTACCACTTGATTGGCAAATCAATTGAGTTAAAGTTGGCTCCCGTGCGGATAATAGAACAATTATGAGTGCAGTGTTAAAACGTGCTTTTGTTTTGCAAATAAAGCAGGAAATAAAGCATTTTTTTTAATCTGGTTGCAGATACGGTAGTAGAAAAGCTACAGCTAAAAATCTGAAAAGAAATTAACTTTTCTACACGCAGAGAAATGATTTTTAAATTCAAATGGATATAATATTTTTGGCTTAGGGCTGTAGAGAATAGGACAAAAATATCGGTTGTTATGCTGACATTAATCTCTGACTAAGTCGTGCAGAGAATTCCACGAAGCGCACGTTTCCGGTATCCAACGATGCAGCTGCATCTAAGATCAGAAAAATCGCAACCGTTTCTAGTCAGGAATACGATAATGATAACGGAAATGAGACTGTAAGTGAATTGTTTTCAGAATAAGTTTTAGATTTTTTTTATTTTTTGCTTAGTTTGTAATTAATTTAGTGAACAATTTTACTAAATAAGTCGTAATATGATATAAGTTAGCAAGAAATAGCTATTTTTCGCCTGGTTTTTTTTCTAAATTTTTCTTGTTGTTTACAGCAAGCAGTATGTCGTTTGGCTTGTACAGCTCCGCAATCTAGTTCCAAAGAAATAATCATTGAATTCATAGCGGGCTTGCAAGTCAAGTTCTTAATCGACTCGGGGGCAGAATTTAATACAGTGGATAAGGAAAATTTCTTTGCTCTGAGAAACAACAATCCCATCTATTGTTTGAGAGATGGTTCGGATAAACAACTTAAAGCATATGCGACGGAAGGAGAAATTTCAGTAATTGCAACTTTCGTTGCAGAATTGTATTTTTCCGAAGAACGTCCACGCTTCACGGAAAAATTCTATGCTGTTGAAAACGGGAGACCTTTGTTAGGCAGAAATACTTCAGTCCGGTACAGTGTACTGCAAGTTGGTTTGAATGTCCCAATTCTTACACCTCCTTACATCGACTGCAGATTGCAGCCAGGGGAAATACGAGCTTTGATATGTTTAGGAGAGTTTCCAAAATTCAATGTTCCGCCTGTAAAACTCGTTTACGATAACAGCAGACTTCCGTCACGAAATATATTTACCAACATACCACCAGCATTCAAGGAAGAAACTGAAAAACGATTGAAAAATCTACTATCTATAGGAATTATTGAATTACTGACACAATAGATAAATCATTCTGTTCGTCGAACGGCAAAAATGACATCCGGCTTATAGTTGACTTAAGGGGTCCAAACAAAAGTATAATTCGAACACCATTTCGAATGCCAACACTGGAAAGTATATTAGCGGATTTGGATGGAGCATTTTATTTTTCTACAATTGAGCTCACAAGTGCATTATTCCATGTTGAACTTCATGAAAACTCAAGACACTTGACCAATTTCTTCGCTGGAAACGCAACTTACCGTTATAAGAGACTACCTTTCGGATTATGCAACGCGTTTGATATTTTCCAAGAAATCCTTCAAACAGTAGTGCTTGCAGGATGCGTGGGTTGTCACAACTATTTAGATGATATATTGGTATCTGGAAGAAAACAATCTGAACATGACGAGAATCTCAACGTTGTTTTATTGTACAGTAATTATATTGATTCTTCGCTGCCTTAATTAACACGGCGTTAGTATAAATAATAAAAAATGTGCAATAGGCAAGCAAACTGTGAAATTTCTAGGGTTCTCTCTTTCTCATGACGGATTACGAGCTGATGAGGACAAATTGATGGCCATACAAGGTTTTCGCAGGCCGGAAAATCAATCTGAGGTTTAAAGTTTCTTAGGGCTGATGAACTTCATGGAACGATTCATTTTGAAACGAGCGGAACGAAACAAGAATTTGAGAAAACTTGCCAAAGCCGAAACCTTTTATTGGAGACAAGATGAAGAAGATGAATTCGTTTATTTGAAAACTGAGGCATTGAAGTCTATATCGAAGCTAGGATATTTTCGTTCCGAAGATCAGACCTCGGATCAGACCGAGTTATTCATGGACGCTTCTCCTATTGGACTGGGAGCTGTATTAGTTCAATATGATCATGCTGGGGTTGCCAGAGTACGTGTGCTTCAAAAGCATTGACAGATGCGGAGAGGCGATATCCTCAAACCCAAAAGTAATAATTAGCGATGGTGTGGGCAGTTGAAAGATTTTCATTTTACCTGTTGAGCAAATCTTTCGCCATAAGAACGGATTCGGAAGTGAACGAATTCATATTTGGCAGAGGAATTAATGCAGGGAAGCGTGCTGTTTCTCGTGCAGAGGCCTGGGCTCTCAGACTTCGCTTATGATTTTAAAATAAAACACATACCTGGTCGTTCTAACGTTGCAGATGCATTATCTCGTCTTATAAAGAGTACACAATGTGACGAGCCATTTGATGAGGACAACGACAAACATATTCTTTACGCTTTGGACGCAGGCTCACTAGAAATCACATGGAAGGACATAGAAAAATCTTCAGAATACGATGCCGAGATAATCGCTATACGATTTGCTCTGGATACCGGAAGATGGCCAGAGAATCTTAAACGATTTGAAGCTCATGCGAAGGAACTCCGTGTATTGGGTCCGAAGGTTTTCAAAGGAGATCGAATTGTTCTGCCAAGAAATCTACGACACGTGGCTCTTCAAACAGCTCACCGTGAACACAAAGGATGTGCAGCAATGAAACGAATAATGCGAGAATTTTTTTTCGTGGCCTGGTATGAGTAAAGGTAATTGAAGGTGATTGAATTTCTGTTCGATGCCAATACTCTGAAATTTAATCTAGTAAGAATAAGAAATCCTCGGAAAAATTCAAATGGGAATGTTCCATTGGCTCAAAAAACTCTCTCCGCCAATCTCTCCCTCTGAGTATTTCTAGGCTAACATGAGTCTAACGTTAGTCTAACACGTTAGGCAACACTTAAAGAATATCAATTAAGTGTCTTCTAAGACCATTCTCTAGCTAATAAATTATCACACTAAAGCTTCATGTTACATAGCATTTCCAACCAACTCTGAAAATCGCAAACTTAGCGTATATGAAGTAACATAAAAACACTTTGAATGTATCAATTATTTTGTTTATACGAATAGACTAATACCAACAATCAATACGAAACTAACGATTTTAAATTGACTCACCACTTTAGTAACCTATTGGTCCCAAGCAAACGATTAACGTACCCTATTCTAGTTGAAATTCTATTACTACACTATGTTTGTTTTGATTCGCTATGAAAGTTTGACAGATAACATCAGGGGTGTGTGGATTCATGCAGAACATGCAGGGGTGAGTGAAATAGCTTAGGACTGCTTGGGACCGTTGTTCTGGTACTGAGTGAGCCAAAAATAATAATGATTTTCTTCGGGACCCAGTGGTCTTAGAGTTACCTCTATGCTAATACCAACCGGTGGAAACTAAGGATTTAAAATGGGCTCACTACTTGACTAGCCTATTGGTCCCAAGTACATCTATAAGCGTTTCCCATTCTAGTCGAAATTCTAGTACTACACTGTGTTTGTTTTGATTCGCTATGAAAGTTTGACAGATAAAATGAGGGGTTATTGGTTTTTCCTATGTTACGAGGGGTGAATCGATTAGCTTGGGAACGAAGAGAGTACCAGAGCTGAGCCAAAAGTTGAGCACGTTATTTCGGGACCTTCTAGTCTTAGAGTTGCCTCTAGGGTTCGGTTCGAGTCGGTTCCAGTCTGCACCGTTTTTTTTTTGTAAGCATCTTGTGGCTAAAATTCATAAGTTTAACTATAAGACCAGAAGGTCCCGAAGGCTTTAGCGAATTTGAGTGAACGAAACTTTTTTTTTCTTTATTAGAGTGACTTTCAGCCACTGGCTGGTTCGTCACTTTGAACGAAACTTAAATTTGAGTGAATGCCACTCAAATTTGAATTAGTTTGATCGGCCATGCTACCGTTACTATAATCAGAAATGTAACACCCATCAGACGCTTGCAAACGTCTGACGGCGACAGTCGAGCCGAACCGATGTCAATCATACAAGGACCGGGAACAACAGCCAGCTTGCTGGTGTTAGAATCACAAATGTTGTAAACATTGCTAAAGTAATCGTTGACGACGTCACGTCATCACAACATTCGATACTGTGAACAGCAGACGTGTCGTCACAGAAAATCACTGTTTAGTGTAAACATTGCTATGAAATACGAACAACACCAATCATTTCCACAGTTCACTAATACCAATAAGCCGGTTGGGCCAGCCCTTGTATAATTGACATCCGAGCCGAACACGACTGATGCGTCAAACCGACGAAACCGCATTCATCATTTTCCTACGACGGAACAAAACGAATCCAGTGGTGGCTCGCAGCGTCCCTTTCTTCGCAAAAAACCCGTAAAATAACCGTTCGAATTTGCACTTTGAGGGCAATATTCGACAGGCGGTCAACGTTTCCAACGATGGAGTCAGAAAATGGTAAGTTTTGGCGTGGTTTCGGTGGTTTATTTTGACGCTGAAAATCGACCTTGCGATCTTTGATTCTTTCCTTCCTTGTTGCAGACGTTTCCATCGAAGAAAAAAAGGCTGCCCAGGAAGCAATTCCCAGCGGTGGTGCCGAATCGCCAAGAAAGTCCCGTTCTCGATCACGTTCCGTATCGCAGGCGGGTAGCCGTTCCGGGGGCAGTCGCAGCCCAAGTGCCGAGGGCTCGGTAAAGTCCCGGTCCAGGTCGCGCTCGAAAAGTCGAGAAGCATCACGCAGTCCCAGTCCGGCAGGTTCGCGCAAGTCCAGGTCTAGAAGTGGAAGTGCGAAGGGGGTAAATAAGAGTGTTGAATCGGCACGGCGATCAAAATCACCGGAGGCAAGTCCGGTGAAGAATGGTGATGAGGTGGGGAATAAAGCACGGTCCCGTAGTGGATCACCGGTGGTAGAGAGGAAAAGTCGCAGCCGCAGTGTGGGATCTAACCGATCGAAGCGATCCCGCTCGGGAAGTGGCGGAAAGGAGGTGGCCAAGTCGAAATCGAGATCCAGATCTAGATCGAAGTCCGGTTCGCGATCGAAGAGTCGTTCCCGTTCTAGATCCGGCAGTCGTTCCAAATCGAGGGCTAGATCGGGTTCTCGATCAAAATCCCGGTCCCGTTCGCGGTCCGGATCCAGATCGAAGTCTCGTTCGAGATCGAAGTCTGGGTCAAGATCTAGATCCCGGTCGAGATCCGGCTCCAGATCGAAATCACGCTCGCGAAGTCGGAGTCGTTCAGGCAGCCGCAGTCGTAGTCGAAGTGCGGGTTCAGCTCGGTCCAAGTCCGGAAGCCGCAGTCGTAGCCGGTCGGGAAGTCGCGCCAGTTCGGTAGGTGAAATAGTTGGTAGTAATAAAAGAATTGAGTTCATTTTGAAACTATTTGCAGCGTCGCAGTCGCAGTCGAAGCCGGAAGTCTGGCTCTGGATCTAGATCTCGTTCGCGTTCAAGATCCCGTTCGAAATCTGGATCCAGATCAAAGTCACGATCGAAGAGTCGCAGTCGTTCTGGCAGTCGCGCTAGTTCCACTAAACGCAGTCGTAGTCGAAGTTCCGGCAAATCGCGTAGCCGTTCCAGATCCAGATCTAAATCCGGCAGCCGTGCGGTGTCGCCTAGCACCAAAAAGAAACGCACAGGGGTATTCAGCGATTCGGAAGATGATGACGGTGTCGACAAAACTCCAAAGAAGCGAGCCAAGATTACGGACTCTGATCACGAAGGAGAGGATCTGGAAACAGAGGCAGCCGAAACGGAAGCTAAACCCGAGGGAGCCGAGGAAGAGCTACAAACCAGTGCGGATCGGCCGCTGGTTGATGCCGGAGACTCGGATGATGAAGGAGTTCGCGAGGGAGGCGGGTAAGTGCTTTGTGTGTTGGAATTGGTCTTCGAAAAACTTATCTTCTACTGATTTAACTTTCCAGTGGAGGATTTGTTTCGGACTTCGAACTGATGCTGGCTCGCAAAAAAGATGAAAAATCAAAACGTCGCAAACGGAACGATATCGACTTGATCAATGACAATGACGATCTGATTGCCCAACTGTTGCAGCAAATGCGCCACGCTGCCGAAGAAGACCGGATGCTGAACAAGGAAAATAAACCGGCCACCAAGAAGATTGCAATCCTCAAGCACGCCATGTCGCAGCTAATCAAGAAGGACCTCCAGCTGGCGTTCCTCGAACACAATGTACTCAATGTGCTGACGGATTGGTTGGCGCCATTGCCCAACAAGTCACTGCCCTGTTTGCAGATCCGGGAATCGATCCTGAAGCTGCTCTCGGACGTAAGTTTCCTTATAGTGGTCTATTACTCCAGAACGAATCTAATCAATTCCATTGCGTTTCGCAGTTCCCCTGCATCGAAAAGTCCTACCTGAAGCAGTCAGGCATTGGAAAAGCGGTGATGTATCTGTACAAGCACCCCCGAGAGACGAAATGGAACCGCGAATGTGCCGGACGACTGATATCGGAATGGGCCCGACCAATCTTCAACCTCAGTACGGACTTCAAGGCAATGACCCGCGAAGAACGCCAGGAGCGGGACCTGCTGCAGATGCCCAAGCAGAAGCGCAAAGCCGCACCGGAACAGCAAGGGCAAGGCAGCTCCGGCTCGAAGAAGGGACTGCCGTTCACCGAAGCGGATAAGTAAGTTGAATAAAGAATAGCGTGGAGGATTTACGCAGTTTCTAATGACCGAATTTATTTTCTCTAGGGGTGCTCTCCGTCCGGGAGACAAAGGTTGGGTGCAGCGGGCTCGTGTTCCCATGCCATCGGATAAGGAGTACATCGTACGACCGAAATCGACCAGCGATATCGACATGAGTCGGGTATGGTTTTGCACAACTTGCAGCGACTGCAAGATGCTTGAACTTTTTTTTTTTTTATTTGTAGGTCACCAAGAAGAAGATGAACCGCTATGAGCAGCATCTGAAGAAATTCATTGACGCCAAGCGACTTAAGTCGAGCCGGCGGGCCGTGGAAATTTCGATTGAAGGTCGAAAAATGGCACTGTAGAATGGTGGTAACATCCTGCTCCTACGACTCCCCTCACCCTTTCCTCATCTCCTTCAAGTAGGTAATTTTTAATATTGATTTATTTAACATTAAAGACCACAGGCACTCTAGTGTGTAGGTTACGTATGCCTATAATAATTAATTAATTATTCAGTAAAAATCCACTAGAAATGCGTGCTCACAGTGTAACCAATCAATTTTAGCCGTAAATTACTCGAAATGGATCAGAACAAATAGAATCATTGATAACCGAAGAATTGGTGATGTTGGAAGCAACGTTTGTTTCCTATATAAATGACTACTGCTGGGTATATTTTCTACTTTGAAGACTTGCTTTTATGTTTCCAAACAACAGCACACAGAATATACGCCGTGAACTACCGCATCCAGATAGTGGTAGTGTGTCCGGAAAAAAAGGATGCCTTTGGAGGTGCAGTTATTGATCCGAAATGCCCACACAAGCACATGGTGTAGGAGGAGTAAATCTCACAATGTCGTCATTTGGCCAGTTTTTGCACGGACGTTGGTGGGAGGGCTTAAACTCCATGTCATAATGGAGTGTTGGAGACGGTGGATTTATTGCCGGCTCATGTCATGGCAGTGTGCCGTCATTGACAGGCGTTGTGGATTAGTGAGCCTTCCGTCTCTGATGAACCATATGGCTTGAGAGAACTAAAGTTCTAACCGCTAGTGACAGTATCACACCTGTATATATTTTTTCGATAGCCATGTCGTAGCACGTTTATGTAAAGGCACTTACTTTGGGCTTGGGTGTGGTGCTAGCGGGATAGGCCGCAAGTTAGTCTTATGTTATTTTGACACATATAGCACTGACAAACCGGCATGCATGAGCATACAAATTACAAAGAAATTTCTGATCAAAGCACAAAACTGACAAGCACAAGCGTGTGAAGCATGTGAATCAAATTCATCAGTACGTCACAGCAAAGGCACATGGGCTTATGGCAGCAAAACCCCAACAAGGAAATCAAGCAAACCAATAGGAATTTGACCTGGGCCCAGGTCAAGCAACCGCTCAGAATGGAGGTTTCTCATGTTGGCCCTCTGCACATGCAGCACAACAAGTCGGCGTGCTGTTTTTGTTCTTTTCTTTTCAGAAAAACAACAAATACTCTATCGCTCTTCTCTATTCTTTTATTCTCTTACTATACCCTACAAATCTGAAGCTAGTGAGACTGCCTACGGGAGCAACAGGCCTGCTGGTGGAAGAAAGTCGTTATGCTATACGGTCTAGCATAGGCCACGACCAAAATTTCCGTAGGTTCACACCTAGTTTAAGTACAGATGGGCGGGCGATAGTCGGCCAGGGTGTGAGCTGAGCAATAACAAAGCACAACACTGACATCTGCCGCCGTGTTCGCGGAAAGTATGATTACAGTACAGTACCGGCGGATATGATTACAGTACAAAGATTTGCTCAGCGCTGAAATTCAACAAGAACATGAAGGCCCCCGGGTTTGACGGTATATTCAACTTGATCTTGAAGCGACTCAGCATGAAAGTGCAGACTCTTCTAACCACTATCTTCAACAGATGCTTGGAACTGTACATCTGGAAGGTATCAAAAATCATACCAATCCGCAAACCCGGTAAGGATCCAACATTACCTTCAAGCTACAGACCAATCAGCCTCCTTTCAGCGCTGAGCAAATTGTTCGAGAAACTAATTCTCAATCGTCTGCTCAAGATTGTCGAGGAAGATTACATTCTCCTTTCGGAACAGTTTGGGTTCAGAAAGGGGCATTCCACCAATCCCCTCCCCTTGACTAGTGTTTAACCTGGACGTTGTTGGGCGGGCCTAATCTTATGCTGCATAGTGGAGCGTTGGAGACGGTTGGTTTAGGTCCGACATCGTTGGCTCATTCCGTGGCAGAATACCGTCATGAGCATGCGATGAGGATTACTGAGCTTCCCCTCTCTGATGAACCACTGCATGAGAAAACCAAAGATCTAGCCTGAAGTGATATTATCACACCTGTTACTCCTTTTTTCGAGAGGCGACTCTTTGCTCGACTGTTGAGCTGTTCAGTTCGTTTTCTTTTTCGCTCGAGTTCTCGCTTCGATTCAGTTTGTGCTGTCGCGTTGCGCCGTGGAAGCGTCGCCACCTTCGCGCGTTCTGGCAAGTTTACTGCAACTTGCCAACACGAAACAAATGGTGCGTAAACGTACCAATGATTCAGCAGCGGGCCCTTCAAAGAAGGTGGTAATCCAGCACAGCGCGTCGCAGGATGACGCCGGAAAACGGGTACTGCAAGCCAACCAGTTTGCGGTGCTCCCCGAAGAAAATGACGATGGTGACGTCGTTCCCATCGCTGCAAGAGCGCGGATTCCCCCGCTTTTCACGCCGAAGAAGGATGTTGCCAAGCTGCGTGCCGAACTGGCAAAACACAAGCTGCTGCATCGCTTCAAGCTTTGCAGCATCGGCACCAAAATCATGTGCTCCAGCCTGGAGGAGTACAATCAAACAGGATGTTTCCTAAAGGAAAACAACGTTGACTTCTTCACGCACGATCTGCCATCGAGCAAGCCACTGAAGCTGGTATTGCGAGGATTACCGTCGTTCGAGGCGGCTGTGGTTAAATCCGAGCGGCTTGGGCTCAAACCTGAGGCGGTGTTCCCAATAAACCGGCGTTCCAACCACAACACCAGCTTCCAGTTGTTCCTGGTGCACTTCACGAAGGGATCCACCAGTCTAGCGGCTCTGAGATCCAAAATCCGGGACCTGTTTCAGGTCATCATCAGTTGGGAGCATTACAAATCCCAACATCGTGATGTTACGCAGTGTATGAACTGCCTCTCCTACAGCCATGGCACCAAAAACTGCCATATGAAGACTATCTGTGGCAAGTGTGCTGGAACTCACTCGACTGCGTCCTGTGAGCAAGATGATGACATCGAGCCAACGTGTGTCAACTGCGGTGAAAACCACCAAGCCTCCAATCGCGGATGTCCCAAGCGAGTGGAGTTCATCAATATCCGTCGGAAGGCTACGATCAATAATCAGCCCGGTCGCCTCCGTAATCATCGTTCGCCTCCTGCACGCACGGAAGTCCAGTACCCAGCTCTCCAGCCCCGTCGACATGTTCCGAACTTAGTCCCACTTCCGCTCAACAACCAACAAGTCAAGCATGTGAGTATTCCTAACAATCGAACAGTCCAGCATCGTCTCGCTGCTGCTGCTGCCCAGCAAATGCCATGTCCCTCCACCGCCCCTGGTTTATCATACACTGGTGCTGTCTCAGGTGAGCCTGGTGAGCCTGTCGACGATTCTCCGTTCACCTCGGAGGAACTTGTGACGCTCGTGGCCGAGGTCATCATCATCTTGCGCACCTGCAAGACTCGATTTGAACAGCTACATGCTGCCCTGTCCCTTGTCACTAAGTATGGACCGTGAAGCCATCAAGATCGTAAATTGGAACGCTTGCTCCTTGAAGAGCAAAAACATCGAGTTTGTTGAGTTTCTCAATGAACGAAACATTGACATTGCCATCATAACTGAAACCCACCTGAAGCCTGAAACAAACGTCTACCTTCCCGATTTCCGACTCGTGAGGCTAGATCGAACCAACTCTGGAGGAGGAGGACTGGCTATTGCACTAAGGAGAAACATCTGCTGTCGACTGATGCCCAGCTTTCAGCTGAAGATCATCGAAGCCGTAGGGGTGGAAGTTTCTACTCCTATCGGCCCCATCACCATCGTCGCGGCTTACTGCCCCAAACAAGTCAACATCAGGGACGGATCGGCAGCAGATCTGCGACGAGATATTATCAAGCTAACACGACGACGGGAAAACTTTATCATCGCTGGCGACCTGAACGCCAAACATCAAGCTTGGGGCAACAATCGGCGCAATCAAAACGGCACCATCCTGAACAACGACCTGCAGGAAGCGCAGTACAACATCTTGAGTCCGGAAACTCTCACCCGGTTGAGTCGGTCCGGTGTTCACGCTACCATCGATTTCTTCATCAGCAACATGGGCAACAACATCGCTCAACCTATCACCTATCAGGAACTCAGCTCGGACCACTACCCGGTGATGACTGAAGTGGGATCCTCCGTAAATCGATTTGAAGCTTTCCGGCGCAACTATCATCGTGTTGACTGGGGTCATTTTCAACATTGCGTCGACACCGCTGTAGACTACGATGTCCAACCGGAATCGTCCGAAGATGTTGACCGGTGTCTGCGCTCCATCGATCAAGCAATTTCCCGGGCCAGGGAGCTACATTAGCCAAAGTTATTCCAATTCACAAACCTGGCAAAGACCCTACCAGTGCCAAAAGTTATCGCCCCATCAAGCTATTTGAAAAACTGATACTCAGCCGTCTGCTGGTGTTTTCAAATGATAATAACATCTTTCTCAAAGAACAATTCGGATTTAGGAAAGGCCACTCTACCGTCCACCAACTCGCACGGGTTAGTAACATCATCAAGCGGAACAAGTCCGTTTCCAATAGATCTGCCATGGCATTGTTGGACGTCGAGAAGGCGTTCGACAATGTCTGGCATGATGGCCTAGTGTACAAGCTGCATCGATACAACTTCCCGATCTTCCTCGTGAAGATCATCAAAAACTACTTGTCGGGCAGATCTTTCGAGGTCTTCTTGAACAATTCTCCTTCTGATACGTTCAACGCTGATGCTGGGGTTCCCCAGGGTAGCCTTCTTGGTCCTATCCTCTTTAACATCTTCACGTCAGATGTTCCTCCCCTTCCGGGTGGTGGTATTTTGTCAATGTTTGCGGATGACACTGCCATCATCTATAAGGGTCGAGTGATCCGTGCTCTGACAAGAAAACTCCAATCAGGCCTGGATGTTCTGTCCGACTATTTTAAAAGCTGGAAGATTTGTATCAATGCAGCTAAAACACAGACCATCCTGTTTCCACACTCCAATTCACCCCGGCTTGTTCCGCCTGCTAACTCAAAAGTCCACCTTGATAACACTCCCATTGAATGGTCGAGTGAAGTCGTCTACCTTGGTCTCACCCTTGACATCCACCAAGTGCAACATCTTGATTAAGTCGCTCTACCCACTTATCAACAGGAAGTCCACCCTTTCCCTTAAAAACAAGCTTGCCATCCACAAGCAAATCATCCTCCCCACCATTGAGTACGGAACGCCAATCTGGGAGAGTTGTGCTATGTGCCATCACCTCAAACTCCAAAGGATCCAGAACAAGATCCTTAGGATGATCCTAAACAGTCCTCCACGGACCCGCAATTCTGAGGTCCACCGCCTGGCTGGCCTTCAGCCTCTCGAAGAGCGACGAACGGTCTCCATGGAAAGGTTCAGAGACACCTGTCTGAGATCAGATCATCAGATCATACGTGATCTGGCACGTTAGGTTAAGTTAGAGT